AAACATGCACGCTCATTAAAAGGGACAAAACCCAGCACTATCCAGCATGTAGGAGCTTAAAGAACATTACTGAATGGTGATGACACAGACATGAGCGTCAAAAGCAGGAACGCTCATGGGGGAAGGAAGGAAGAAACATAAAGGACTGCAAAAAAGTGCATGTGCTGTGGTTAAAGTCCAATTACCAGCTCATGCCAGACAATTTTCCCACATTATGCCTGCATTAACATTCCCACTCTCAATGTAATGCTTTCTTAACCAAACTGACAATGCCTGTCTTCACTTGGAGTTATGAACAAATACAAGCCATGTCTGTTGAGACTGGTAAAGTCATTCGATTCATTCAACAAACATTCTTGGGCACCATGATGTGCAGGTAATGAGTGATTATCTCTGTCTAGTTCTTTGCTGCAAAGGCAAGAGAGGGTCTAAAAACCAGTTTGGTGTGCTTTTAAAAATGCTTTAAAAAAAAGCTTAATGGAAGAGATGAACACCCTAGAGAAAAGTGGCAATACTAGCTTCATCTGATAGTCCACAGATCACAAGGGCAGCTGACTCATTGGTTACAATTAGGGAGATATAAATATACATCCAAAAAGAAAATTTTCTTCTTTAAGGACAGTCTTAGTGAAATGTTACTTCCTTCATGGACTTGAGCCAAAGTCAGTACAAGGAGAAGTTCATGTAGTTTCTCCAAAATGTCTTGCCTATTCTACCCTCAACATCACTGCTTAGGAAGATGCTTGGCCCAGGAGGCCACAGAAGCTCCGGATCCTGGAGCCCTGAGTTGGTTGGATATGACCTGAGCAGCGTGGCGGCCTGCCGGACTTGGGAAAGCAGGACCACCAGAGGATATAGTTAGAATAGAACGGAGTGGGCCAGATAAGTAGACTGTTTATATCTTTTATTTTCTAAACTTCATATTTTTATCACTGAGATCTTATATAAAACAATTTATCAGTTCATGTCTAAAGTAAGGATAATTTATTATACCCAACTTTACTGTCATGCAGTATTCTGAATACCCTTGAACTTGAAAAATGAAATCACTTTGCATCACCTTATATTGAATAATGAGCATCATTTATATAAAAAATTTTTCACAGGAAGAGAAAACAATGTTGATTTTTACCAAATGTACAATTGCTGACATTTCAGTAGTTGTAAAACCAGACAGGGCTATATTATAACATAAGAGCCAAACTTCAAATTTCAATACGGAAATTAAGGTATTTATAGATCCTCTGCTTTCAGAGAATTTTTTTCCCTAAAAAGAGAACCTCCCTGCACCCTGCCCCCAACTTGGCTGAAGACTTGTCTTAGTCAGCTACTCAATCTTGTCAACATATAACAGAACAACTGCAGAAATCCTATTGCAATTGAGATAATGGTCAGTAGATTAATAGAAAATGTCATTTAAGGCATGGAATCATTAAAAATTACCTAAACACCTATTTTAAATACCTTATTTTATCACGAATCATAAAAAGGTAAGTTTATTTGCCAATATTTTCACATAGACCAAAGCTATTTCTGCAATTACAGGTCAACTGATTGAAGTTCAAAGTTGTTTTTCTTGCTTGACCCATACTCATAATGTATAATATATAACTTCCACTTTGGCTACTGGAAGTTGAGAAAAATCTCAGTGTGAATCAATCTAAGTGTGGAATCATTCTACATTGTAAACATCTTCCCAGTCTTTTAGAGTTTTCTCTCTTCCTTCCGCACCCAATTTGACAGCAAGTTCTTAGAGCAACTTGCCTTTATCTAAAGTCTTTCCAAAGAACTCAATTGCATAGAAACGAACAATTTTCTTTCCATACATACACTTCATCAGTTTACATGTTATTTGATAAAACTGTATAATTACTGTAACAATGCACACAACTCAGCAGTGGGAGGAGAGGGATGGCCCTCGGGAGTACCCTGGAAATAGCCCATCAGACAGCACACACACCAAGGAGTGAGGATAAGTCAGTGTGCTTTCCAGAGTAGAAAAAACTGGAAATCCAGAGAACCACTCAGATTAGTTGAGAGGACTCCCACAGTATTATTTTTTAAAAGCCAATTTTGTTTCAAGAGCTGGCCTCTAGCTTAAAAGGGTATCTCCAGGCAGAGTTATGTCTTGTTTAGAAGAAATGTCATTTAAGTTTCTCGAGGAGAGAACCTCTGTGTCTTTCTGTGACACCGCTTATGGGAGAAGTCCTGCAGAGTGTTTTTGAGTATGTGTTTTTTTAAAAAGCATGTACTGCTATGTCCACAGCCTACAGTTATCCTTGGAGTTTAATCTCCAGTATTTACACCAGACAGTAATTCATAATAGACAAGCTGGTAAACATAAAATAAAAAATTACTGTCCTTGAGCAGCCCATTTACAAGAATATTCACACAGATTTGCAAATATAGCCTCCTATACAGCCACTCCAAAGATGCTGATCCAAACCTATGTGAGACAATTAAAATTGGCAATGAAATACTAAATCCAGCCCATAGACTTAGTTTTTATTACTATTATTTTCATTTGGAGATCTTCAGGTATGGTGTTCATGCTCTGGTTTACCACAGACTCTGCAACTCCCTATGGTTTCACACCTGCTTCCCCAAGCAGGCATGCCACTGAATCCGACAGATATATAGTACCACCATGACTTGATTCGTATAGAAACTTTGGTTGGTCTCTGGCAACACTAGGAGAGCTCTTATAGAAAAAGCATTTGCCTTGGCAGAAGCACCAACCACATCACTGAAAAAACAAGACCAGAGGGGTCACTTACTGTGGAGAAATAGAAATGACTGACAGCCTAAGTAACAACTGTTCAAAAACTCTGGCCTTTCTAAAACCCTATGGGACTCTTGCTGAAATGCAGGTTCCTGGAGGTCTAACCTGATTCTGATTCAGCAGGTCCAGAGATCTGCATTTTAACAAGCACCCGAGGTGATATGGACACAAGAGCTGTAATATTGAAAATATTAACAACAACCCTAAGTGCTTATCAGACCCTGCTCTAAGCACTTTACATGGAATGACTTAATCCTTGGAACAAACCTACAAGGTAGACACTATTATTAACCCCATTTTATATATGACAAAATTAAAGAAAAGAGAGATTAAGAGGCCTCTGCTTATTCAGCTAGTAAGAAGAGCCAGGATGAAAAACTCGGCCATCTAGCTAAAGAGTTCACAATCAACCACCTGGCTGTTATACTGCACTATGACCTTGACCTAAAGGGTGCTATAAAACATAAAACAGGTTTGCAGCTGCTGACTCAGTAAAATCCCTTTACCCCTTTAAGGGAGTACATGAGTCCCAAGAATCCCCATTTTCACATTCATCACCATCCTTGGTGGTGAGGATGAAGAGTTCCTTTTACATGCTATAATAAGATCAACCGTAGAAGAACTGGCAAAAGAGACCGTGAATAGGATAAATGATCAGAACTCAGATGTACCCATTCTAAAGAAGTATTACAACATTTTATGAAAGCTCTTGAGAGCATAAAATAAAAGGGAAGCCCTGATAGTCCCCAACTAAAGATATGAGAAAGGGAAAGACAAAAGTCTAGTTATTAATAAAGTTTAGACTGTTTCAACCCAATCCTACACAGCTATCTCAGGTTGAAAAATTACGATCAACATTAGAGTGTCTCTGAGAAACTAATCAAATCGACGCTGGCTAGGCAAAGAGTTCTTCGACTTGACACCAAAAGCATGTTCCACAAAATGAAAAATGGATAAACTGAACTTCATCAAAATTTTCAAAAAGAGAAACTTTTGCTTTATAAAAGCCTAAATGAAGAAGATGAAAAAAATAAAGACTGGCAAAAAATATCTGCTAACTACATACCAAACGAAACACTAGTGTCTAGAATATAAAAGGATTCATGAAATTCAATAGTAAAAACAAAACAACAATAATAATCCAATTAGAAAATGGGCAAAGACATGAGCAGACATTTCACCAAAGAGGATATATAGAAGGCACATAAGTACATGAGATGATATTCAACACTGTTAGCTATTAGGGAAATACAAATTAAAACCACAATGATGCATCACTACACACCTATTAGAGTAAATAAAGTTACAACACTAAACACTAGTAAAGATGCAGAGAAACTGGGTCACCCTTACATTGATGGTAGAAATGTAAGATGGTATAGCCACTCTGGAAAACAGTTTGGTGGTTTCTGAAAAAAAACTAAACATATACTACCATACAACCCAGCAACTGACCCATGGGGTATTTATCTCTGAGAAATAAAATTTAGGTTCACACAAAAACCTCTGTATACAAACAGCAGCTGTTATTTGTAAGAACCAAAAACTAGAATCAGCCCAGATCTCCTTCAACAGGTGGTTAAACAAATTATGGTACATCCATACCATGGAAGAGTACTCAACAATAACAAGTAATGAGTAATTGACACCAACAGCTTGAATAAATCCCCAAGGAATTATGCTGCATGAAAAAAGTCCATTTGAAATGGTTGTATACCATATAATTCCTTTTATATAAAATTTTGAAATGACGGAATTTTATAAATGGAGGATGGATAAGTGGTTACCAGGGGTTATGTATGGGAAGATGGGAACTGGAAGGCAGAAGAAAAGTAACATGTTATAAAAAGGCAATAGGAGGGATGCTGGTAGTGTTGGAACTGTTCAGTATCTTGACTATGTTGGTAGATAATGGACCGCTCTATCGAAAAATCAATGAAAAAAATATCCTCAAGTGAAGATTAACAAAAAAATAAAAAGGTCCATAATCCCAGTTGTGTAGGTGAGATCAGGCACTGTATTGTCTCACTGGGAATATAAAATGCCCACCCTTTCTGGAGGACATTTGGCAATACTATAAAAAGTGAGAAACATACCCATACCCTTTGATCCAACTAGTCAATCTTTAGGATAATAACTAATGAATAATTTATAACGGGAGTGCAAGTTGACCTGGAAAGATAGTCAAGATATATGTAGTTGTTCCATGAATACTCACTCAATCCCTGGTAGGTGCCAGACACTGTTGTTGCACTGGGAATGTTGACATGTCCAACAAGGCATGGTCCCTGTGCTCACTGAACTGTACAGTCTGGTAGACTGTCCTCTCCTGGTAAATAAACAAGTGAGAAAACACTATACGTATATGTCTGTGTGTGATTACAAATATACACACACATATGTATATATAATATAAATTCTGGAAGGATGAAACCCAAAATAATGTTAACAGAGGTTACTTCTAGAAAGTAAGATTGTTTTTGTGTTTTACTTGATTTTATTTGTTTTTGTACATTTTAAATTTCTATGATTAACAAGTGTCACTGGTATTAATTTTAATTATTGGAGGAGAAAAGGCCGGTCTCCAGAGTTTCCCTTTTTTTTTTTTTTTCTTTTCAGTTTCTTTTGATTTCTGAGTACAAGCAGAGTGAAATTTTTCTAAATCCGGAGTCAAAAAACTCAAAGATCTCTTCAATTAGCAACATGAATAAAGGCAAGTTAGCCATACTAGATTATCTTAAGATTTAAAAAAATTGTGCACATTCCTAACAATTTCATTTTCTCACAAATTCAGGTTTGTAAGCAATTTCTAGCCCTTGGATTGAGTGGGAATTTCTATTTTTAAAAGGTTTATATTTCTTCTGCTAATTTCTTTTTATCATAAAAATAATGCAGATTCACCCAGCCGGTGTGGCTCCGTGGTTGAGCATCAACCCATGAACAAAGAGATCACCGGTTCGCTTCCGGGTCAGGGCACATGCCCAGCTTGTGGGCCTGATCCCCAGTGGGGGGCATGCAGGAGGCAGCCAGTCAATGTTCTCTCTCATCGATGTTTCTACCTCTCTCTCCCTCTCCCTTCCTCTCTCTAAAAAAATCAATAAAGAAAAAATGTTTTTTAAAAAAACAACAATGCAGATTCATTACAGAAAAGAAATGTTTAATGAAGACATGCAAAAAAAGAAAAACATCTATAAAACCACTCTCTCAGACAAAAATAACTATTTTAAGCCCCAGATATACTACTTTTAAACTAATATCAATCTATATGTGTATATTTGCTAGTTCATGGGCTCACACAGCACGTTCTGCTATTTAAACTGCATAAATTTTTTTTTTGCTTAACAATACATGCCATTTTAATGATATATTTTAACATTAAATATGTTTTTTTAACCAATCTGCTAATGGTTGGGTATTTCATGTCATCAACAGTGGACAATGAACATGTTTTTGAAACTAAACATTTGAGCATATACTTGGTTTTGTCCTTCAGTTAAAATCCCAGAAGTAGAAATGTCAACTCAAAGGGTATGTACACTTGAAGGCTTTTGACATAAGTGGGCTCCCAAAAAGTGGTGTCGATTTGCACTCCTAACAATTGGTGTGGGCATGAAAGTGATCCCGTTTCTACACGCTCACTAATGCTGCTGACAGACAATGGAGTAACCTTGTTCTTGGATTGTCTAGAATTTCACTTTTGAAAAGAAAATCATTTTAACAGATCAAAATGGAGAATTTGTTTGGCTGTAGTTAAATTAAAATTTTTAATTTGTCAATTTCACTTTGATTGCAGAATTTGTCAGACCCATGAAGGCAAACAAAAGTTCATCTTTGTAGGACACTGTATTCTAGCCAATGATCTTTATTTGGATAATAATTACCGATTCCTCACTGACATCTTCAAATCTTTGGCCTACAAAGATCAGTCTTTCCACCAAGAACTCTCAGGCTAACATAGAGGTGGCCTTTTCACAGTAACCATTGCACGGGGAGACGCAGGAATAAATGAGATGGTGCTGGCTTCATGTGCCTGCTCCAAGGTACGGCACTGCAGCCCAGCACACAGCATTTATCAAATGGTCCAGAAATGGTTGTTACTATTAGTGTGTTATTATAAGTAACACAACTTTAACATGACATAATGAGGACTTAAATAACAGCTATTTTGCCCTGGCTGGTTTGGCTCAGCAGAGTGTCGACCCGCAGACAGAAGAGTCTTGGGTTTGATTCCCGGTCAAGGGCCCATACCCTGGTTGCAGTGCAGGTTCAATCCCCGACCCCTGGGGTTGTGCAGGTGGCAACCAATCAACGTTTCTCTGTCTCTCTCTTCCCCTCCCTCCCTCTCTCTCTCTTCCACTCTATCTAAAAAGAAAATTAATGGAAAAAATATCCTCGGGTGAGGATTTTAAAAAAACAACTATTTCAATGCTCTTTTATTTTCACTGATTTGCAAAGCTAGGCCTGGAACTCAGATCTCCTTGACGCCAGTCTGATATGCTTTCTCTCACACAGTTTTGTCTGCTGGTAGGTTTTCTCTGTGCAGAGTGAAAGCAAGAGACAACTTAATTCACACAATTACACTTAATCAGAGCAATCTGCAATTTGAGATTTAAGTCTACATACTCAAAATATAGTACTTGGTTTATAAAGATCTGCGTAGTTAAATAATACTTCTCCAAAGCAGGTATTTTAAGTTGCAGGCTAAAAGCAAATGGGTTTATATCCACCTCAGAAGATGATGAATTATTGATTATAAATCTCTACTCTGATAGAGGGTTTCTGATTGCATTTGACAGAGGGTTGAAGACTAATTAAAAATGCTCACACATTCATCACTGTTGATTGTGCATAATCCCCTGCTCAAAGTACAAGTGCGGCACCTTCTCTAAAATGACAGAGGAAACAGATGAAGTTCCACTCAGAACTCCCAGAGGCCATCTGTCTTGATTTCAGGGTAAATGGGCTTTCCCTAACAACCTAAATCGCAAGCAGAGTGACAGTTCAAAAACCCCTGCACCAAATTTTCTATTCTATCTGAGCCAGGGCTGGCCAGGCCTGGTCACGTGGTACATGATCAATAAATAATTACAGATGGATTGATAAATAGGTCTATGGGTATACTTTAGGGATATCCAAAACTAATATGTCTAGGTGTCTTCATAATTCGAGTCATAATGTGTGTTCCGGTGAGCTAAAGGAAATAGATCCTATCTGCCATCCCAAACAGCCCGAAAAGTGGTTCCTTCATATATGTGCTCCAGCCCTTTATTGAGCAGCTAGTACTGACCTCTCCCCATCCCTTTGAGGCTACAGTTCTCTTACAGCCCACAGTGTTGCACTCACTCAGGAAGACATCACCAAGGTAAAACACTGACAGGTACTTTCTAATAAGGAAAGATAGATGGTCCTCACCGCCGTCCTCTAAGGAAATCTCTACTCACCACACATCACAATGACCTATATACGGTCTGAGCTATAAAAGGAAGGATGGAAGGAGGCTGATGGCCAATCTGTGTTCTCCTACTTCTAAGGAAATATCTGTCCCCCCTACTCCACCCCTATCCCAGAAATCCACCCCACTAGCCACAACAGAGGGCATGTATGAGGAACTGGCCTAAAACTCAAAATCCTGTTAAGGACATTTGTCATACTAGGTTTCAATCCGCTTGCTGTATAAAGGACCTGACAAATCTAAATGGATTAGAAATAACATAATCTACATTAATAGCAAGAAAAACATTTTTAAATTAATGGCAATTCAACACACTAATTATAAACCTAAGGTGGAAAAGGGAGAAACACAGTGAGACTCAGCTTGAAAAGTCATCATAGTTTAATCAATAAAAGGGCAATACTAAGAAAACATAGACCAAACAATAGCAAAATTGTTATGCAGCTGCCCAACCTCTGCTTTTTGAAAACAGTAAAATAGCAGCATTGAATTATGCAGTGCCACACATCACACCCTCTACCTTCCTCCCCGATGAATTACCAGCAAGTGAAATTTACATGTTCTATTTTGCAACTTTCTTATACATTCTTAATATATAGATTCCTATGTTGTTGTTGTTTTTAATTCTTGCCTTCTTTACCTCATTCCCTAGAGGTCCAGATTCTGGCCCAGGCTCTGTCCCTGTATAGAGCAATGTAATTTCCATAAGTATCAATGGGCTTCCATTTTCTCATTAATGTATTCAACAAATTCCACTCTGCACCAGGGTCTGTGCTAACTACAAGGAATATAACACAGAACAGGCCTAACATGTTCCCTGTTCTTATGGAGCTCAGAGTCTATAACAATGGGGGTTAGATATAAAATCAACAATCCTGTTTAATTTCTCACGTTTTTTATTTTACTCTTCTCCCTCTCTCTTCTGCTTCTCATGGCTCTAACTTCACCTATTTCATTTCCACTATTAATCACCTTCATCACTCCCAAAACAGCCAGAGCCATATGAAAATTATGTTCTCTAACACAGGGACTTAGCTGGATTGGTTCACAAAGCAAGAGGAGGAACGTCAGTAGAGGAAGTCTGTAGAAACCAAGGCCTCGAAAAAACATACAGCAGACCGCAGCCCTCTCTTAGATGAACACCGAATGTGAACAAGGGCGCAGATGGAAAACGGGCAGGGAGAAGAAAAGGCACAACCAGCTCCTCCTCTCAAAAATTGGAACCTGATCCCCTGGAAGCCTGGTCACTGGGTCATTCAATCCTGATTGCTTAATGAAAGTGTACAAATCAGCAGATATTATGCCTGCGTGTTCCAAATGTCCCTAATTATGACCAAGTAGATGGAGGTCTTAAAAAAAGAAATCACATCCTCACTGAAAGGGCTGCTGGCAGATCATTAATTAAAACACCTCAGCTCCCAACTACATTAGAAACATGATAATTATCTTCATTCAAAATTTGCTTTACAACACTTGAAACGCTTCAAACTCTAGGATGACAACAGAATATAAATAAAAAGACCATGATTAAGGCTGCTGTCCATTATTGTGTTGCTGCAGCTCAAAGTTAAGAGCTCCTCCTTTGGGAATAAAGAGCATCAACAGTCCAGAGAAGACAAAGCAACAATTATCGTCATTATCATTATAATAACATTAGCAGCACCTAACTTTTCTTGAGTCATTACCATGTGCCATGAACTGTACTAAGAACTGTTTTACATGCCCCACGCTCAGAGAGACTGAGAAACTGGCCAAAGTAACCCAGCCAGAACATGTCAGAGCAGAGGACTGAACAGAGCTCGGTCTGGCACCCAAATCTACCCTGTTGCTTACTATACCACTACCAAAGAGGTAATGTCAAAAGAGGGAAGGGGAAG